GCATATAATCTCCCAAAAATACCGGTAGGGTTAATTCCAGGCGCACACGTTCAGTTTTAGCGGAGGAGGTGGACACGGCATGCGATGTCGCATAAAATCGCTTAGTTGCGAAGCCGAAGAGGAAAATTCCATACGGCATGACTTCGATGTCCGTGTGATTAGCGATGCATTCTTCGCTGCAGTGCTAAAACAAAAACTACTTTTCCGACGCAGTTTTTTGCGTTTGATGAATATTGAATTTGTACGACCACAGTCAATTATAGTGCTACTATCTGCTATCTTTCAAGCTTCCTGCCGCAGCCATTGAGTTTGACTTTGCAGGACCCGGAAAGACTGTCTCATTTTGCCATATCAATTTATTCGAGGATTAGCCGCAAGACCTCGGCCGTGGCTATGTTCATCCCCCCCCGAAATGCAGCCTACAGTTGGTAACCTGCCATACGTCGATTACGTGGAAGGGCCTGTGTTTCATCCTGCAACCAGACCAGATCGTCCAACTTTATCTTACGAACGTTGAAGTCTGAAATGTGAACGGTAAGAGGCAGTATAAAAGAGATTGGTCTAGGCGAATTGTATCAACGTGAACCGAAGACAAACTCAGGCAGTGCTGAAGTATCGACAGCGACCATGATGGCACCGGTTTTTCGTTGACCTTTTTTCGACGACTCCGACGGACTGTAGGGGCAGCAGCAGCAGTAGCATTCACCAAAACTCCAAAAAGTAACTTCATAAGCATCTGGGTGATCAGGAGGTGCCCTCATCATCACACACACATGTCGCGTGGGTCACGTAACAAAAAATTTGCTCTTAGACATTTTGGTTTTTTGGTCCGCGTCTTGTAGAAGGCTGACTGTGATCTTTTTGTGGCCTATATAGGTACTCAGGGTTTGTATAGGTCGCTCGATATTGACTGGCTTATCACAGGCGCTTTCCAATTTGAAATAGTTAAGCGATGTGTGCCGCACGTTGCTTCGCCAAGTTTGTACCAACGTGTGCGTCTTTGTACATATAGCCGTCGACATTCCATACGTGCCAGTACCGCGTCGGACGCTGCATCCTGCCCCCGCCCCTCCTGCCGCCATTACTTTGTCAAAAATCCGATGTCGAATCGCGCACGTAGTCCCGTCCACGTAAATATCCGGCGCCACCCCAAAGTGCCCGTTTGGCCTACTGAAATACGTTTTCGATTGGGAAGGATTACTTAGGTGGGGTGTTGTACAATCGGTAGTCGTACAGCA